TGACTAGATTTCAACTCACTGGCAATAGACTTATTGAGTCTTGGATGGATTTACTTCCAGAAGTAACAGTGACTAGTCCTGAAGCAATCCTGTTTGTTCAACAACGACGTCAAGAACATGAACGAGATCAACAAGAGAGAGCTGAAGTAGCAGCAGCCTCAGGAGCAGCTCCTCATGTAGTTGTTCCTTGGTCAGATGAACTGGCACTAGCGGCATTCAGACAATTTCAAGAAGATCGTAGACAAGTACAGCGACAAGCATTCCCACTGGGTGAAAATTTGCTAGCATTGATTTTTGTAAGTCTAGCTGACCTGAGTCAAGATCAGAGAAACACACTCACAAGTATCATGACACATCGTGGACGAACCCTCGATCGATACAGTATTCAAGAACTACGTGACCTGTTTTTGGAAATGTTTTGCACTACCAAAACAGCAGTTGACAAGAAAGGGGACAGGCAAAAAAGCTGGAAAGGGAAAAAAGAGATAGAGAGGGAGAGGACGGGATGAAGGTGAATTAGACAGGAACAGACGGCTATTGGGAAGAAGATGAAGAAGACGGCGCAGGACGGATTCTGGATGCTGTAGAGATGTTTCTGGTTTATGATTGACGCCCAACTTCACATGGTATCAGAGAAGGTTCCAAGGCAAAACTCAGACGAGGCAAAGGTAAAGGAAAGAGAACAAAGGAGAAAAGGAAAAAGGAAGAGGAGGAAGAAGGGGAGGGAAAAGAAAGAAAAGCGAAAAGGAAGAGGAAAAGAAAAGGAAAAGGCCGAGGAAAAGGAAGAAAGAAAGGCCGCTCTCACATGGGGAGTGAAGAAGGTTATGAAGATGAATGGCAAGATGATGAATGGAATGAAAACTATGACGGCTATTGGGCCGATGATCAAACCTGGAATGAAGGCTATTGGGCCTATGATGATTCATACTACATGGATGAGTATGGATACTCCCAGAGGAAAGGAAAAGGAAAAGGAAAAGGAAAAGGAAAGAAAGGCAAGAAAGGCAAGGATGATGATGGAAAAGGAGGAAAGCCAGGAGATGGAAAAGGCAAGTCGAACTATGTTCAACCTCAGACCACATCAGCTCCTGCCACACAGAATCAACAAACTCAACAAGCTCATTATTCTTCTGCAGCTTCAAGCTCTGGTCATGGTTTCTTTTCATTTGGAACACCTGACCCATTACGTGTTGATGTTGCAGAGACAGAGCCAGCACGTGTTGATGTTTTGCCATCCACGTATGCAGCACAAGATGAACAACGACGCACTCGTCGTGGAGGACAGAACCAACGTGATGCAAGAGCACAGCAAAACAGGAGAGAAATGAAGAGATTCCCTGTTCTGGTCGGAGAAGTTGATGCACTACGACAAGGTGTACAACAACGTCCAGCTGTAGTGCCCAGGCAAGTTGGTCTTCAAGAAGGTGAGGCTTCATGGAAGCCATTGGCAGAAGGCACATCATTGTTTTCATATGGATGCTCTACAGAGATCTACAGAGATAGAGGAACCATCACAGCAGAGTGCTTTTTCGTTCATACGTTACACGACTGATTCGGCATGTGAGAATGGACTAGCTTTTCACCAAGAGAATTCTGCACCACCAATGGTGTATCTGGATCTTGGATGACACAAGAGCTATGGGCTCCGACGAGCAGTTGAAGCATTTTGCAGATATGTTGACTCACATCCCAACAGTGGACTCTGCGGATGAAATTAGCCAACAAGTTCAAGATTCTCTTTGCCAAAAACTCACACAATCAAAATGTGTACTGAGAAGCTCGTGATATTCATGTATGATCATGGATGGAACACTCAGTTTACAGAATTCGA